TTTTTCTGATTTGGTTTAGGTTGAGATGTACTTTGGTAGTGAAAATAATTAGGTCCAAATACTTAATTAACTTAATTATTTTGCATTCTGATTGGATTGTTTTTTTTTAATGAACCGGGAACGTACCATTTGGCGATCCACTCAAAATCATAACTCTAAATTGAAACTTAATTGGGATAGAGATTGCTTTGTTACTTTAGAAATTCAGTGGTTTTCACATTTTGAAGGTATGACTAAAACCGGAGAGGTGTTGTTCAAATGTCACCTTAAACATTCATGTGATTAAGGTTTTTTTGTTTTGTTTTTATTGAGGTTATTCTTTTAAATTAGTTATAAAATACTTAAGTATGTCATAAATTGTTAATCTTGGTATTTGTGTAAAAGTTTTTTTAAAGAAATTATATCATAAACTAAAGATTAAAACCTCTTCCTTCTTATAAGACAATGATATGAAAACATTTAGAACCTACAATTAAAACCCCCGAGCTTTAGGCACACCAGCTGCCATTTTCAAGTACAACAACAACAATTTAAATCTAATATTTAAACAACTAACACGAGGTAATTTCAAACATGTGAATTTTTTTCTATCTTATCACACTTTTAACATCAGCTCACTGGTGCTGGATTACTTGTTTAGTTCAGGTTCTAAGTTCTTTATGGCTAATGTTTCTTTTAATCTTAGCCACTGCTCATTTTCAGCCTTTCCGATAATTTGGAACTGTTCAATTTCTACATTTACATTCACACATTCTTCTTTATGTCGGATGATATTTGAGAATTCTACATACCTTGACACACTATGTTCTTTAACTCGATTTTACCGCAAAGTAACTATAGAGTCATTTGGACACAGCATTTTCAAAGCTGGAAAACAATGCAATACATGAAGGTGCAAACTGGGAAACATAACTATCAGCACATAATGAGCCAATAAAAGTAAATTGATAAATTACTCCACCTGGATGTCCTTCGTCACTCTCAACTACAGCATCCAGTCGAGTAATAACGTTGAAAGCAGCCGATTACAATCCAAGCAATTTCTCGTAGGATTGCGACTCTCATCATTGATGGTAATTACATTTCATCCCGATGAACACGACCAACAGCTTCCCTGATTTAGATCTGCCGTTTCTTATGGAGTCATACTTAAATTCTTTTAGCCAGCATCGAAATTAGTTCATTGTAGTTCAGCATTTATTTTTACTCGATTAAATATGTAAATTATGGTTACAGTTAGGCCTCTGGTGGTTACATTTAGCAGTATGATTTTATTAGTTCAGTTTATCTCCCACGTGCTGGTAATCATGTTTCCCCATTTTCACTTTCAAAAATTGTATCGTTTCCAAGCTAAGACACTGCTAAGTGGCCAAAGAACTTTACAACCACACATATTATATATATATATAAACATTAAAATAGCATTGCTAATAATGCCAATCTCCCTGTACAAGCAAATATTTATCCATATACTTATTGCATGGTGATAAATCCAGAAATAAATAATTATATATGTATTTGTATTGAAAAAATCGTTTGAACAAAAAACACATGACCAAACTGTCAGATTACATAAAATGTATCCTTCAGCTACTAATACTTTCAATATTCTATATCTGTAACAAACGTTTCTATATAGTTTTAATGTTGCTAACTAATATTTGTAAATTTTATTGTTGCTTATTGCCCTTTATCAGACTGTTAGTTAACAGTAAGGTAATTAGATATGATATTTGTAGGCGTAGATTGTTAGACGAGTTTAAATGCTCCATATAATTAATTCCTAGCCAAAAGATGAAAATATGTATTACGATTTTTTGCAAAGAAAATTGTTCTCCTGTAATTAATGCATAAAGATTTGTAAGTTGATATTGTTTCATTGTTGTAAGTTGGCTTACATGTCTTTAACGTTATTGCTTGACGCTACAAGATAGGATATTTTGATACCTTGATAGTAAAGGAGGTTAAAGCCTCATATCTGGAGAAGGACGCAGGAGGCTCATGGGTAATTAAGTCCAGCTATGAGTTAACTTTGAATTCGACACCACTTTGCAATTTTTTTAAACTTTTATACTTCGTTCACTTTCGAATTTGTTTTATGTACATATTAATAAATTATCAATGTTAAACTGGGATAACATTTGAGCAGTGTATTTTATATACATTTTAATAATTCATTAGTGTTAATTACTTTGTCTTCTTTAGGAACATTTTCTTATTTCTAACACCTTTTTATACATTGAATATTTTTTATCATTTGTTCAACTATGTCACAAGTTGCAAAACATACTTGGAGAGTTTGAAATACTTCATATATATATATATATATATGGGGGGGAGGGGTGATGCATTATTGGTTATTTTTGGACATGTCAAAAACGTTATGAATGATACCAAAAATTATAGCACATGAACCGGCATGCATAAAACTAACAGAAACTGTGGCCTTCTTGAACATCATTATTTTCTACTTGTATTAACATTTAGGATGAAATTGATAGCCTTGAAATTTGTAGCACCACAACTTTTGGACTACGTGCAACTGAATAATTGTTGTAATTACACAACTTCTATTTGCTTGAAAAATAAATAAATAATTTTATAATACGGATAATATTAAGCAAAATAACTCGTACCATGACCCACCAACTATAATAACTCTCAACTGCTCAGCTAGAGTGATGATAAGTCATTCATTGAAGGTTCTTTTGAATTTTAAGCTAGAATGCTTGTCTGTTATTGGCTGTAAAGATACATCAAGCTGTATTCCATAGTGAAAGGCTACACAGATAAGTTCGTAAAATACAAAAGAAAACTAAATCAAATAAAAACAGAACGATTGTCTGGTTATAGCTATCCAGGTATAAAGATGTATAGCTTCAAGATCTTCTCAGATCGTACTGATAACATTGTAAAAAAACAAACAACTAAATAAAGCTAATATTGCTTGTTAAACTTCTGATCTATCATGTAGAAACCCGACACTGAAGGTTAAATCTCCATGTAACCAATTTCTAAATTTTTCATTTTCCTTCAGGATTATTTTCATTATAAATACCGTCCTGAGTAAAAGTCTTGCCGAGTATATCGTATCAACGACCAGTATCAACACGCAGTTCTTTTGGAGAAAATTTAGGAAAACAAAAAATACAGGTGATAAAAAAGTTAAATGACAAAACAGTACCTTGTTTTACAACTTTTAAATATGTTTGGGAGTGCAATAAGTTTTTCTTTATTAACTTCCAGTATGCAATGAGCTACTAAAACCAAAATCATTAGACTAAAAAGAACAGTTAGTTTTAATTTAAAGAATATAAAGCATTAAATGACGTACTTAAACCAAAACCACTAGACTAAAAACAACAGTTAGTTTTAATTTAAAGAATATAAAGCATTAAATGACGTACTTAAACCAAAACCATTAGACTAAAAACAGCAGTTAGTTTTAACTTAAAGAATATAAAGCATTAAATGACGTACTTAAACCAAAACCACTAGACTAAAAACAACAGTTAGTTTTAACTTAAATGATATAAAGCATTAAATGACGTACTTAAACCAAAACCACTAGACTAAAAACAACAGTTAGTTTTAACTTAAATGATATAAAGCATTAAATGACGTACTTAAACCAAAACC